CTTTTTAACTGATGAATAGAGGGAAGGCAACTGTCTAGTAGCACCCACTGCCAACTCTATTATTACTTTTTAACTGATGAATAGAGGGAAGGCAACTGTCTAGTAGCACCCACTGCCAACTCTATTATTACTTTTTAACTGACAAATAGAGGGAAGGTAACTGTCTAGTAGCACCCACTGCCAACTCTATTATTACTTTTTAACTGACGAATAGAGGGAAGGCAACTGTCTAGTAGTACCCACTACCAACTCTATTATTACTTTTTAACTGACGAATAGAGGGAAGGTAACTGTCTAGTAGCACCTGCTAACTTTTTTAATCTCAAGATTTCTTTTTCAGTATATATATATTTTTTTATTAATTCTTTAGTTTACTCATTGAAAATGAATATACTACATGTAAACTAATCATTTCATTACAGTAAATACTTAGAAGCTCACCTTCATAGATTAAGTTCTCCTCTCTGATGAGAAATGGCTTCTTGTGATTATCAGGTTGTGTGACAGTTAAAAAGGCTGCAGATGTGACAGCCTGGGCTCCTGACAACCCAGTGGCAGTTAATGGAACAGAAAGAAATATGTTGTTATCTGTGACTGGCTGTTGTAACCGTTCAACTGCCCTCAAAAGCCTGGATTTGTCAACTTCATTGGGTATTTGTACACTTGGATTTAGGTTAGGAAAGGGAACTTTCACAGAAGACACAGTTAGAACAGATGAGGTAATGGGGGAAACAGGCAGTGATGATTCTATGCTGCTTCTGACAGCTTGTGAATGTGATAAGGTAGTTTCTGCAAACCTAGCATCCAAGTACTCTTCATATTCAGATTTTAAATTACTAGTATGTATCTGGAAATCTGTATTACTAGGCACTGAAGGGCCACTCCTACCTACTGAACACTTTTTGTCCCCACTGAAAGTTACACTTTTATTACCAAACTGACAACTCTTTTGGGAAGATCCTTCCACTTTAAGAGAGTCTGCAACATTAACAAGAGGAACTTCTTTGGTAGCTGTTGTTGATCTTGTTTTTTCCTCATTCTTAGGATTAATAACAACTGCCGCATTAGGTCCACGCAAAGATATATGAAGAGGAGGTACCCTGGGTTCAGAAGAATTCGTCAACCCTGTTTTCTTAAAAGGAATACTGATACAAGAAATGTCATTTTTATGAGGTGACTGTGATGAATATCCGCTGTCTTTATCTGTCCTGCCCTTTTCATTCTCTTTCACTTCACAAAGAACTTTTGGTTCTAGTTTCAATCGTAGCTTGAGCATTTCTCCAGGATTACTGCTAGAGATAACTGAATCAGTTTGGACTGTTACTTTGGTGCTTTGGATGTTAGTTTCTGATTCTGGAGATTGTGACACATCTGTAAGAGACTTACTGATTCCAGAGTCTGTATCAGAATAGGGGTTATTATCTTTTCCATCATCAGACAGACTCCGTTCAGACTGTCCATTTTCAGGCATATCCATTTCAAACTCTGGAAAAAGTGCAAGAGAACCAGTAGACTCTTCCTCCTCATCATCACTTAGCATTGGTTCCAACTGGCCTGTGAATGGATTTATAAGATGCTTTGTTTTGCCATCAGAGGAAGAGGGTGAAGGTAAAGATACTGGCTCTGGAGCTGTTTTGGGTGAGTCCCAAATTCCATTACTTATACCTTGACTGGTCTGATAAAGAGAAGAGGAGACTGCTGAGGTACAATAAGGGAGATCACCAGTATGCACTTGTGGCTGACCTTCGGCTTCTGGATGAATGCTGGGAACTGATGGAATGTTTGGCAGTGACATATCGAAAGGATTCCTACTGAGCACATCAAAATTATCAAAGGCTGTTGATGTGGAAGAAACAGGTGGCATGGAAATAGCGTTAAATCCTATGTTGTGATCAAAGGAAGATACCGACGTAGAATACGATAACAACTCCAATGGTTTATTTTCTCCCTCTCCTACAAAATCTTCCCTGTTCAAAGGTTTTCCCTTGAGTTTATGAGACTTTCTTTTTCGCTTAGGAGGCTGCTTGGCATCTACTGAGGGCGGTGGCATTAAAAGGTTAGGATGTTGTTGTTCTTGCTGTCCATCATTCTGTAAAAGATTCACAAGAAGCGGACTAGTAAGGGCAACATTTACCGAAGCACTGCTGGAAGAAGAAGGTAGCACAGTTGAGGTATGAGTGGCAAGATTACTAAACATGGTATCTGGATGAGAATATGACTGTTGATATACTGGAGGGCTCGTGCTAGAAGAAGGTGTAGGTGAACAAGTAACACCTCCTTGGCAATGATGATGCACAGCATGCTTTGTAGTCATAGCATGAGTCATGCTGGCAAACGGAAATGGTCCAAAGCTGTTATGAGTGCGAGTCTGATTTGTTGGAGAAACACGAGTTGAACCAGCACTACTTGTTTGGAAAAATGGAATAGGTTCACTGGTTGCTGGAGCTACCACATTGGGGGACTTAAACCAAGTGTTGCCTTGCAGACAAATGAGATCAACTGATGCAGCTCCACCTACTGGTGAGTGTTCAGATAAAGTAGTTCCATGAGATGATTCCATAGCTACTGTGGCCATACCTCCCTGTTGGCTAAGATACTGTACAATGTTTTTCCGTGTGGCCTCAACATTGCTTGGTCCAGGAGAACCTTCCAAACTGGATGTGTCAAAAGCAGATGATGGACTGCTGCTGAACTGAGTACTGTGTGGATCTGAATTCTTATGGAACACTACCTCCTGAGGTTCACTGTAATGACCAGCTAATGTAAGAGTGATAACCTGAAAAGGTGAAACAAGAATAAGACTAAATACGTTAATAAAACATAAAAAGTTTGCTCACATAAAGCTGCAACACACAAAAAACAGAATAATTAAAACTGCATTAACACTACCAGTAGGTGTAAATGGCTAAGTGCTAAACCTCTATGTGCTGCGACGTTAACTCCACACTGCATTACGAAACAAAAACTATTTGACAAAATAGTTTGAAACTTCTGAATCTTTATTAATTATGTGGCTCCTGAAACTATCTCAATTTTTATGTAATATCCATATGAACTTGCAGCTTTGAAATTTTGAAAATATTTCATAGTGAAATGTTTTTATATGAAACAATTAAAAATGCTCATCTTTGTTGTACATTTTAATTACTGATTTCTGTGGCTTCCTACATTGTTTTACAACTTTCCTATAATGTTTTAACTGTAAGTTTTGTCTTTGTTTTCATTCAAAAAACACATCATGCTGTTTTACCTTGTTTATGATTACTGGTATATAATAAAAATAATTATTTTATCATACCAAAACTATAAGCAAGCTGTCTGTTAACTGTTAATCACGAAGTTTAACTTAATATATGTAATAAGTTTTAAACCCCTTTTATGTTCAATGATACATTTTTTTTTAACATTTCTTTTTGGAGATGGTTCAATTTTGCCTTCGATGTGGAATGCAAACATCCACAAATTATTTTGTCGTTAATAATAATCAAAACAATATATGTACATACACACACACACACATACATATGAAAACAAAATCCTATGAAAAGTATATAATGAAATAAATAAAATTAAAATTTATAAAGCACAAACTATCAATTATCCAAACTTTATAAACAATTTGGAAATTAATAAGTTTGTGAAGAGTTTATATTTAACTAGTGCTAGATGTTTTGGAGGTCAACTGAAGCTTCTTGTTCAACTATGAACAGTGCCATACCTATTTAAGTTTATCATTAATTCTTTTTTCTGGGGGTTGAAGATACCAGAGTAGGAACAATGTATAAGAAACTTACTGAAACCTTAGCAACTGTAAACAGTTTTTGTAAGAAAATGCACAATGACTTTTACAGAAAGCAACTGTAAACACTTTCTGTAAAAAATGCGCAATGGCCTTTTACAAAAAGTAACTCAGAACAATATCTGTAAAACACTGTACAAAAAAACTAATGAAAGTGAATGAAAAATCTAGAATATAAAAAATGATAAACTACAGGTAGTGAATTTTCTAGACATTATTAACAACAAGTGTTCTAATACTATACTTTTGGAAAGAATTGTTTATTATAAACAAACAAACAAAACTTTTCTATATTTTAGGAACAAAGGATAATAAACATAAACTGTTGTGTTCAACACTCTTTGGAAAATAATTATACACAATTTTTACACACTAACTTAATTTTGAAACTAATGATAATCATATCAAATGTTTAGAAGAAGACAAACAACCCCTTTAAATATGGTTAACAGCAAGGATGTTTTAAAATGTTTCATTTTAAATCTGTACAACATGCTATCAAGTACACACAAATCACAGTCGTGTTTAACTAATGATAACCTCATGTTCATTCAAGTTGATACATTGCTTGAGGATCAATGATAATTATTTGTTCAAAGTTTGCATGTTTGTTTGTGAAGAGTGATATATTTGTTCAGTTCCCTAGAAGAACACACTTTCCGTTACTATTGTATTTACACAATAACACTACTTACAGTTATATTTAAAATATTTCTAAGCAACAAAACATACAGCTTACTTTTAAAAATATAAATACATTTTTTGTAATTTTCACTGAGTTCACATCAAAAATATCATATATTACAATATTCAAATAGTTAATGAAACAAGACTTAGTTTACGTGAGGTACTAGACTACTACTGAAATATCAGAAACATGATATCTTTGTTTGTATACAAAGAAAGTTTGTGAAATAATTCTTGTTACAAACAAGTTAACAATACATTCTAACCTAGTAGCACCACGTAGATCTTTTCCTTATATTTCTTATGTTGTTCGTGAGCTCACCTGTTCCCCTTCTACTTGTACTGAAAGGATACCCAAGTCCTTCAAGACGTGATCTCCTCGTTCCGCTAGCTGGCGTAGTCTCTGAGCAGCTTCTCGTGGAATATTAAACGTGACTCGCACACTATTCCAAGGTTCCACCTTTGTCACTTCAAATGGCTTCTCCTCTTAAAAATTTAAGTAGAAGTAAACATAACAACATTCATTATTTGGATTTCATACAGTAGTCAAATATGTAGTTTTTAATTTAACTTCATTTTATTGTTTTATTGCCCTTTTAACTGTGTCTAACTAATAATCCTGCCACACAAGTTACAAATCACTCAATGAACACTTAGCTCACATAACCATATTGAATGACATAACGGATGAGCCGCTTGTGAGCACACATCATGAAGAACCTTATATTTATATCTTACCTTATCTAACCTAGTAATTTTATAATTTTTACATTTTAGTATTTTTATAATAATAAAGAATATGCATAAAAAAAGAAATCTGGTACTTACCTGTGTCCTCTTATTTTTCTGCTGTCAACTGTTAATGAATGTTCAGCCTACTTTTTTTATACTAACGGTACTAATACAATAAATATTTTTTAATTAATTAAATAATGCACCTAAAAACACAGAATAATAACACATACAAAGCAAAAATTGTCCTATAACTATCATAATTTTTTTTTGGCTTTTTTATCTATGTTATAAAAGCCTTTAAAAATTTGAATATACTTTTTGATGTGAATACCACAAAAGAAATCTTTAAACTAGAGGCAAAATAGATAATTCCCTCTACAAAAAAACAATGTAATATAATACATCATTTAATACATTAAAACTTTGGCTTTCTATTTAATATAAATATATAGAATAAAACATCAGAGAAAACTAATGGCAATTTGTGACAGGTGGGTGTGATTTTATAGTTTATGGTTCAGTAAACAAACAAGATTGAAGGCTATAAAAATTATGCTTTGCCTTAGTAATATATATGTTATAAGGAGTAATTTTCATTAAATTTATATACAATGATAATAAAGTAGCTTAATCCAATTTTGAATGTAACTCTCTACTATATCATAATATGTGCATTTTGACCTACCCATAACGAGAGGATTAACTTACTTGGATACAAGTTTTCATACAAAATTTATATATTAAGTATGAATTTAGTTTCTTACTGTCTGAAATAAGAGACTGTAACTTGCCCACCAGGTGGCGTAAACGATAGGGAAAAGTAGGGTCCCTCAAGTCTCCTTTACAGGTCAGCACAGTAGTGGCTAGTTCCTGTCCTTTCCTCTCCATATCTGTATTTCATCAAAAATTAATCAATTTATAATACTAAACAAAAAACATAACATTACATCAGTTCATGATTTGATATTATATAAACTAGTGAGAAAATGGGTGTTGTACTAACAGCATAAAAAACTTCAACATCTGAAGTAAATTATATGAAAATGTACAGAAAACATTCACGGAACTGATTAACATGAGAAAAATAGAAAATGGTTATAAATAGTGACTGTAGATCTACAAATACTGAGGAAAGAAAAGCATATTGCTCTGAAGGTATTATTCATACTCATACTTAAGGTTATCACTGTTTTTCATAAATATGACACCTATATTTTATGTCAAATCAAATCTTTAGGCCTAGTGGTAAAGAAAGTTTAGAGAATCAGATGTAAGTAAATTTTCAAGTCTGTTTGCATCGTAAATTGTCTAAAGACCATCAATATATAAGATTACATAACAGCTGGGAAATAGTAAATATACCAATAATTGGCCAATACCAATTAATCATCAAATTAGTACCAACCATCCAACTAATTATTGGCTCATTTTCATATTGGCATATAACTAACTTCAACAATACTATTAAAGTATACCTTTACTAATGACTAACAGTAACAATACTATTAAGTATACCTTTACTAATGACTAACAGTAACAATACTATTAAAGTATACCTTTACTAATGACTAACAGTAACAATACTATTAAAGTATACTTTTACTAATGACTAAGAGTAACAATACTATTAAAATACACCTTTACTAATGACTAACAGTAACAATACTATTAAAGTGTACCTTTACTGATGACTAACAGTAAC